AGAGAACTAAGACTGCGGGAACAATGAAAGCACTAGTTGGAGCATTAAAAAAATTCGTGATGAGAAGTACATGGGAGTGTAGAGTGGGGAGGAGCACAGCCAGAGTGTGGAGGAGACAAGAGCAGGGAGGAACCAAACCAGCTGTGGTGATGACCCAACTTACACCGCAGAAGAGACAAGCTGCAACACATAAAGAAAGAGAGACAAATGAGATTCCAATAACTAAAGAGGCGAAAAGAACCAAGGTGCTAAACTTTTCTGAGATGGAGAATACATAAGTGAAAAATGATACAAAATTCATGGATAGCGAAGTGGCAGATCCTGCAAAGAAGCAGGACCACCCAGCCCAATGAGTCTACTGAGTTATAATTGTCGGGGTTTGGGGAGTCCTCTGACAATTAAAAAGCTGTTGCGTTTGATCCGGCACCAAAACCCCAGGGTGGTCTTTATAATGGAAACGAAGAAGGAAAAGGAATGGGAAGAGATCGTGGCAAAAGTAAGTGGTTACAAAGGATTTGGAGTGGGCTCTAATGGAAGAGCATGCGGTCTATTGATGCCATGGCAAGAAGATTTGGATCTGGACGTGAAAGACTACTCAGAGAATTACATAGATACGTGCATCAAGGATGACGGTAATGTTTGGCGACTAACAGGGGTCTATGGATGGTCTGAACAACGAAACAAGCATCTGACGTGGGAAATGCTACATTATCATAAAAATCAGACAACTTTACCATGTGTCTGCTATGGGAATTTCAATCTCATACAGCACTATGGAGAAAAGAATGGAAAGCAACCAGCAAATGGGTATGAAATGGAAGGCTTTAATCAAGCCCTGGAGTATTGCCAGCTTGAGGATTTAGGGTTCTATGGGAGGCCTTTTACGTGGGATAACAACCATAAGGATGAGACCTATATTGAAGAAAGACTGGATAGGGCGGTGGTTTCGGACTCATGGAGTCAACTGTACCCTACAACTGGGGTCTACCACCTAAGGAGGTGTGGTTCTGACCACACCCCAATTATGTTAAGATTGAATGATATGGAAGAGGAAGTGAGGTGGGGCCAATACTTCAAGTACGAAGCCCACTAGCTAGAGCACGAGGACTGTAAAAGTGTGATCAAGCAGGGATGGGAAGATATGGGAGATAATTAAGTGATGGGGCGTCTATGCAGATGTGAGGAGAGGCTTAAGAGCTGGAGTAAGCAGACTTTTGGTAGCCTTAGATCCAGACGCATCAAAACAAAAAAAGCTATGGACAGAATTGATAAGCTGGAAAAAACAGAAGCTATCTTAGCGCAAAGAAGGGTGCTGGAAAATGAATTGGCGGATATACTGTTGCTGGAAGAGCTGAAATGGAAACAACGCTCCAGAACAGATTGGTTGCAACATGGCGAAAAAAATACCAAATACTTCCATCGGCGAGCATCAGAGAGAAGAGCAAAGAATATGATAAGAAGGCTCAGAGATGAAGATGGCAGAATATGCAAAGGACAGCAGGAGGTGGCAGATTGCATTGTTCAGTTCTTTAAGAAGTTATACACTTCTGGGAACTGTGCAAAGTCGAATAGTGTGATTGAAGCAGTACCAAAAAAGGTTACAGCTGTCATGAATGATGAATTACTTAAACCTTTCACCCGAGAGGAGATATGGGCAGCTTTGAAAGTGATGGGGCCTCTAAAAGCCCCTGGAGCATATGGGATGTCAGCCCTTTTCTTTCAAAAGAATTGGGATATTGTGGGTGATGCAGTCACGACAGAGTTACAAGGGTATCTGGAGGAGGGTAGTTTCCCCCAATAACTTAATCATACTCTAATTGCATTGATACCAAAGAAAAAGAAGCCTCAGACCCCAGTTGACTTTCTGCCTATTAGCCTATGCAAGGTTCTATGCAAGATTCTTTCCAAAGTCTCGGCTAATAGACTGAAAGGTATCCTAAACGAGATCATTGTCCCTAATCAAAGCGCTTTTGTACCAGGAAGACTCATAACTGACAACGTGATGATTGCCTTTGAGTGCTTTCACTCAATGAAGACCCGCAAAACTGGAAATAAGGGTTTTGTGGCAGCAAAATTGGACATCACCAAGGCGTATGATAGAGTAGAGTGGGATTTCTTAGAGGCAATAATGCTGAAGCTGGGATTTGAAGCAAGATGGGTAAAAATGATAATGACATGTGTTACCACAGTGTCTTTCTCGACACTTGTCAATGGGCATCAGACTGAAGTTTTTTACCCCAGTAGGGGGTTTAAGGCAAGGATACTCTATTTCTCCATATCTGTTCCTCTTTGTAGTTGAGGGGCTTTCAACACTAATTTCTAAAGCAGAATAAGAAAGGAAGATTGAAGGGATAAGAGTGAAGCACAATGCTCCGCAAATTTAACATCTATTGTTTGCAGATGACAGTATTCTATTTGCTAAAGCAAACAGAGCAGAGTGTGAGAGGATTAGAGATATCCTAACTCTTTATGAAGCAGAGTTAGGGCAGCAGGACAATCTACACAAATCAGAACTCTCTTTCAACCCTAAAATAAAGCAGGATAAGAGAAGGGAGCTGGCGGGAGTACTTAATATGAGGTGTGTGGATCATCATGAAAAATACCTGGGTTTGCCAACAGTAATTGGCCGGTCGAAAAAGCAGGTATTTGGACATTTGGTCGACAAAGTGTGCTCAAAGGTGAAAATGTGGAAAGGAAAGCTGTTATTGATTGGAGGGAAGGAAGTACTTATAAATCAGTGGCACAAGCTCAATTGACATATGCAATGTCAGTGTTCTTGATACCAGCAAAAATTTTGAGGGAAATAAAGTGTGCTATCTCAACCTTTTGGTGGGGACAGCAGCAAGAGGAGTCCAAGACTCACTAGCTAAGCTGGAAAGAATTGTGTAAACCTAAAAAGGTTGGAGGTTTGGGTTTCAGGAACCTGCAGAGTTTTAATCTAGCCTTCTAGGCAAACAGCTCTGGCGAATTGTTCAGAACCCAGATACTCTGGTTGTGAGAGTGTTCAAAGCAAAATACTTCCAAAATAGAGAACCATTGGAGGCTGAGGTGGGACGAAACCCTAGTTGGGTTTGGAGGGGACTGATGGCGGCTAAGGATCTGGTTAGTCGAGGCATGAGATGGAGGGTTGGAAATGGGAATAGGATCGATATATGGTTGGATAAGTGGGTTCCCTCGAGTGAAAATCTGAAGGTTACTTCTCCAAGGACTATGCTGGGGCATGGGGGTTTCTACCTCAGTTGTAGAATTAATCAATCAGGAAGAAGGCACATGGAGGAGTGATCTTCTACAACAACATTTCAACCCTACTGATCGAATCAACATACACGACAAGGTATTGAAGATAAGCAAATCTGGAGTAAGGAAAAATCGGGTGAATACACAGTAAAGTCGGCATATTGCCTATGGGAAACCAGATTTGAAGCAGAAGAGGGGGAAATCTACTCGCCTGTGAATTGGAAAAAGGTGGGGGGATTAAAAATCTCACCTAAAGTCAAGGTTTTTGGGTGGCGCTGGCTAAGAAATATTTTACCTACAGGTGCAAAGACTTTGGATAGAACCCAACGAGGCAGTGAAGGCTGCCCATTCTGTGATCTAAGAGAAACCTAAGAACATGTTCTAAGGGAGTGTAGCTGGGCTAGAAGGGTGTGGCAAAGCAGTCAATTGAGGAGTTTGTTCGAGAAAGGAGAGAATCGTACCTCAGAAGAATGGTTCTGCGAACTCCAGGAAGTGGAATCGGAGGAGACACTAAGAGCTTTCCTTGTTGTGCTGTGGTTCATCTGGGATTAACGAAACTGCCAACTATGGAACAAGAAGAAGTTAGAGGAGTGGGAAATCATGCCTAGAGCAGCTGAATGGCTAAACGATTACCTGAAGAAGCAAATTCGCCCGCAGAATGGAGTTGGGGAAACAGATCGAGGTTGGTGACCACCGCATCTGACGTCGGTGAAGATAAATGTCGACGCGGCATGTTTTGAAAGTAGAGGAACGGGCTGGGGTGTAGTGGTTCGCAATGTAGAAGGGCGATGCCTGCTTGCAGGGGTGAAACGGTCGCGAATCCAGTGGGAACCGGAGCTGGCGGAGGCGAAGGCAATTGAGTACGGATTGGAATTGGCAAGGAGGTTCGGTTGGTTGGAAGTGGAATCAGATTGTTTGGGGGTGATTCAGACGATACGCAGGGAAGAAGAGGGACGAACGGAGTTGGGCTGCCTCTGTGCGGCGTTATGGGCTCAGGCCCAAGAGTTGGTGAAAGTTATTTGAAACTTTACGGGCCGAGGTAAGAATCAGGTGGCCCATGCTTTGGCCCAGGTTAAATGCCATTGGGATGAGGAAGAGATTTGGGTTGATAACCCACCTATTTTCATTGTACCTCTCCTAGAGAGGATTTGCTTGGAAATTCTAATTCTACTTATCAATAAATTAATATAGGTTTCCCTAAAAAAAATTCTCGAAGAGATTCCATATTATATATATATTTCTAAATTAAAATTACTATGCATATCTTCTAATTTACCTTGAATAAATGAGCACCTTCAAAAATGATATTTTATATTTGAATGATCTAATTGTAAAAAAAAACTGGTCCCTCCTAGCCTAAAATCTTGGTTTCTTCCCTGATAAAATGATCATGGAATCGATTCGTCTCTTGAACTCTGGAGACAACCAACAAGGGAACTCCGCACCGGAATCGAAGCGAGTGTCGAGATCCAAAGTGGAGTGGAGGGACGAGCCGGTGGAGACGATGTGTTAGGACCTACAAACGAGCATTGTTGCTCGCCGTTGGTCTTCGACGGGGGTCCTTTTTTGGACCAAATAAGCACCCCGCGTTTGAAAGTAACCAAACTAGTAACCGGCAACCCGACAATCCAATAAACCGGATGTACATTGGTACCGTAACCAACCGATTACCAACCCAGGGTGATATAGGTTTACGACAATATGAATCAACCAAAAAAATACAACCATTTTGATCCTCAAGTACAATATATTAGTTCTATTATTTACAACAGAATTTCCCCCACTCTGTCCTTAACATATCGCCAGCACAACACAAGTCCCAGAACCATTACGCCGGCAAGTATAAGACACGCGCCGGCAATGTAGAGCGGCGAGCAGAACAAAAGAGGGAAAACAAAATACATTATTACTTCAACGATTTGGCCAACAACAACCCCGAAGCTAACTCCTTGGGCTCGACCTCGGTACAAGAATGCCTCAGTGGTATAGACCCATGCCATGGGCCCCAGCCCAAGCTGGAACGAGCCCATGATCCCACTGAACGCCACCAAGTTGAGCACTTTGGTTCTGCCAGCGTAGACTTCTCGAGGGGAGCCATCGTGGAAGTGGCTCAGTGGGAACCCAAACACGAGCAGAAACAAAATGGTGATTCCACTACTGGCCAACAGCAAGAACTTACTCCCGATTTTGTCTGCAAAGCGACCGGAGACGATGGCACAGATTGCCTTCACCAGGAGAACCGTCCCGTTCTCTTTGGCCAGCAGCTTCTCCTCAACCACGTATAAAGTCACCAAATACTCTAGCTCGAAGTAGGTGTCCACACCGAGATGTCGAAGAGCTTGTACGAGCGCGACGGAGATGGCTAGGCGGCGCAGTGGATGTCGCACGAGGTCCTTCCACATGAAGCGAAGCGAAGGTATGTGGTCTGCCAGGTACTCCATCTGAACCGCTATGCGGTCGATCTCCTCCGCACTTTTCTCGCCGCTCTCCATGATCCGCTTCGCCTCGTTGACCCTCATCCTGGCTATGATGAGCCAGTGCGGGGATTCCGGCATCGCTAACATTCCTATCGTTAGGAGAATGGATGGCACGATGGGAATCGCGAACATCCACCTCTGTGCGATGTGGTCCGACAACGGTGCGAGTTTGTTCTGGATCAAGTAGCCCGCCAGCACTCCAATGTTCTGCCACATCTGTACATGTGGTAGATCGTTAGCTGGGCGGAGCTACAAAAGTCTTTAGACCCTTGAGAATTTTGGAACTTAATATAAATTAAAGGAGCTTGATTTTTTACGGTATAAACTAAGATTAAACAATAAATTGAAATAGAGGGCAGAAGCATTAATTGTATTCTTATTTCTCGTGTATTTGTCTTTTCTAGACATATAATTTAAATATAAATAAATAAAACCCTACTATTTCATATTGATATCAAATACTATTTTTTGTTTGGTTTTCATAGTTCTATTAGTGTAGTTATTCATTCCAATTTAGATCAACTAATTCCATTGATTTTATGGCTACCTTTGGATATAAATAAAATTTTAAGTTTTTCTTCCACTTTCAATTTCATTTAACTAAATAATTCAATTGAAATCATTTAATTTCATATTTTCATTTTGTCAAATCCGTTAATTAATCAAAGGTTTTTAACTTTAGGAATACTTTCGAATGTAGTAACTAATAGTTTCTCATATTGACTCTATGACATAAATTCAATTTTAGTTATGAAAATAAAATGCTACACAATTTTGAGATGATAATTACCTTTTAATATTTTCTAATGGTTGTTTAAACCTAATGAAAACTTTGGTCTAATTCGATCCAGAGTGATTATGATCTGGCACATAGATTGTTTTGTTCGGTTATAGACACATGAAAAACTTAGTTTTATATTTTAGACATAAAAGTAGGCTTAATTATCCCAAAGAATGTCGTTGATGTTATTATGATGACGTAAAAAAAAATATAGTCGTTTTAATATTTTGTTTACTATTATTATTTTTAGCCTTTTGCACTTACCTCCGGCAGTGACGTGTACTGTCCACGACGGGCCGCCGGAGCCTGCTCGGCGATGTACAGCGGAGCGACCGTGAGCGCGACTCCGGCGCCCAGGCCCGCGAACAGCTGACCAGTCAGCAGAAGGCCGTACGACGAGGTGGCGCCGCACTTGAACACGTTGCCCACGCAGAACAGCGCCCCAGCCGCCACCAGGGGGTATTTCCGGCCGAAGAAGTCGGCGCCCATCCCCGCCGCCGCCGCGCTCACGATGGCGGCGACATGTTGGACCACCACCAGTATGGGAAGGTGGATGTCCACCGCCCCCGTATTCTCCGCCAGCAACGGCCACCCGTACCTATTCGTCGCAAAGTCTTTCGAAAACGGTACAAAACAGAAAGGAAAAAAAAGAAAAAAAAAACAAGAGAGTCAGATTTTACGTTGGAGGAAGGACGTAACCATGCATGCATGATATATATATATATATATATAGTTTTGATTATCGGGTCATCAGTCGGTCAACGACGACTTACCGTATCCCAAAATGAGGAAGGAAAGTGCGGCGATTGTTGATAGCACCTCCGGTTTCACCATCGTTGTCGTCGACGCGCCGAATCAGCTGGTGGGGTTTATATATTTTGCGGCGAGGGGTGAAGACTTAGAGTTGACGGTCTAGCGTTTAGGGTTTAGTGTCGGGTTGATAATATTTTGCGGAGGGAGTAGAGTTTGAGAGAAGGGGGAGCAAGGAATTGAAGAAGATGACACAGGGGGAGGAGTTGGCTGCTGCTAGGGTTTGAGAGAAGAGGGAGCTGAGTAGGGAAGAAGATGATACAGGTGGTGGAGGAATTTTAGCTGCATGCATGCGTTTTCCTTGTGGGTGTTATCGTTCTTATATATACTAACGGTAGCTAGCTAGCTAGAAAGGACGAATATGAAAGTATGGGAAGTCATGTTAATTTGATTACGCTACGGAAGTACTGTTTTAGCACAAAGGGTTGAGTGCAGAGAAGCAGTTTGATCCAACGTTGTGAATATAAACAAAGGTACAAAACCCTTTCCCCCTAAATCACAAAACGATCAGATTGATAATATAGGGGTTTTGTCTGTTTTCCGCCATTGAAGAAGTGGCAGTCTTCTCGAAGGAACTCTAGCTTTGCTCAGGACTTGCGCGCGAATTGTAGTAGGTAAGCTGTTTGATCCCATCGTAGTGAATCTGAACAAAAGTACAAATCTCTTTTCCCCCTGAATCATGTACAAAACAATCAACTTGACGTTTGGTTTTGTTTGTTTTCCGACCATTGAAAGTTTCGATCTTTTTTGGGAGGAACCTCCAGCTCACTGATGAGCTGATGCGGACTTGCGACGATGGAAGCTATAGGATTGTTGGGTTGCAGAAACAACGATAGTTAAACTACACGTCTCTAAATGATATTACTTCCATGGCGTCTCTGCTAACTAACCCTACTCCTCCTGGCCTAATTACGTAAACACCTACTATATGAAAGCTGTAGCAGATACGTGCATGCATGCATGAATCTCCTGTCTTGTTTCTTATTTTGCTTAGGAGTTCTGTTACGTGCAAATTTAAACTCTCTTCACTAATTCAAACTTCTATACCCTTAGAGACCGCTGTGCCTAATTTAGCAAGTATCGGTCCATGGTGGACATGGCTGGCATTCATGGGCTGGGCCGGCGTTAACTTAAGTCCAGGGGCCCAGCTAAATTCGAAATTGGGCCGCGGTGAAAAAGCGGAATAATCTGTCGCCAGTCCAGTTCCGAATACGATTGGGAGAAGGGAAAGAGAAAAGGCTTCGGCCTTTAAACCTGGGTGTACTGGGAAATGTTTCAGCCCACACTTCCTTGCTGGCCTACTACCGTCATCTCTGTATCAAGCGGCGAACGATGAACCTGTCCACAAGTGTCTTTAAGAAATGTCGTCGTCCAAGTCCAGAGGAAGTTCGGAAAATACTCCGCGGGAATAGTTCCAGATCAAGGTTAGGACTAAACCAGAAGCATTTTCTTGGTTACCAAATTATTAACCTGGTCTGAACATGATATGTAATAACAATAAAATATGCCCTTTATTTTGGACGGGAACCAGAATTTTCGCAATTAAAACCAAAAGAAAGTGAAGCATGTAGTAATCATCGTAGTTACTAAAGGTAAATTGGGTATGAAAAATAAATTGTATTAATTAATTTTTTTAATAAATTACATTTTAGGTAGTTACAAGAATCTATTAATTACAATTCTCTCTCTTTCTCTCACTTCCATAATCTTCAGTAAGATCTTGTTTCCTTATTTTTCTCAATCTTTCTGCAGAATAAAAAAAAACACGAAATCACTACCAATCCATTAGACAATCACTACCACTTTGAAAAATATCAATACCATTGCAGAAATAAATCTATACCATTACACGAAAACTACCAATATAAATCTATACCATTTCACAAAAATTCAATACCATTGCAAAATGAATCCATACCAATACATGCAAATTAATATCATTACATGCAAATTAATACCATTACATGATAATCAATACCAATGCGACAAAAACAATACCAATGCAAAAACACTACCACTACGAAAAAATCACTACCAATGCAGAAAAAATCAGATCTAGGGTTTTTATTCATCCCACCTTTTCCAGCGAATACCCGAGGAACTCCATTGCTAATGCTCTAGCGAGCAATGATTTTCCAACTCCGGTTGGGCCGTGAAAGAAGAAGCTGGCGAATGACTTGTTTGGGTTTTTGAGAGCTGTCACCAAAGCCTAATGATATTAAATGGCTTGCAAGGGGTGACGGGGTGGGGTTGGGGTGGCCGGAGGGAGGGAGGGACGCCGGTCACGGGGTAGGGTTGGGGTGGTCGGAGGGAGGGAGGGACGCCGGTTGTGGGGTGGGAGAAGGGAGAGACGGCGGCTAGGTAGATAGGTTGTATTAGGGTTTGAGTATAATATATAGAGTAATGGTGTAGTATGTTTTTCATTTCCTAAATTACCCTTAGCTAATCTTAATCGTTAATTTAAAAATATAATAAAATAAAGATAATGAATGGTATAGATGTTGGTAGTCACCGTGATTACTCAAAATTGAGTAACTACCCTAACCTATTCCGAAGCATGAGTACTACCCAATATAAGGAATGCAGAATTGCAAATTATCAATCAAAGACCGTAAACAAAAGGAAAGAATTCAAGTACTTTACTTCTTGAGATCGGAGATGTGTGATAATATGAATGGAGAAATTCCACCTACAATATATGGATTAACCCCAATTTACGACCATATTCATATAAAATTTGGATTGACCGTTATGACTTGGGAAACAATAGTGACATCGGAGAAAATGTTTTTTTTTTCGGTAGTAGACATCGGAGAAAATGTTAATTATTCAAAATGAATTATATGAAATGTCACATAAAAATACGCAAATGTTGTATGATATTTTATAACAAAAGCACAATGCATTATACAATACATGTATACATCATTTAAAATCTCAATTTTTAGTTGACACATGGTTACAATTGATTGTCACGTTAGTCAAAATCAATAAACCCAGACGAAATATATGATTTAATTATGTTGGATCTCCTTAGACCATATGGGTCAAGATGACTTTTGTACTTTTACTACTAATTTATTACCTCTGGCGCTCCAACCTTTAAGTTACAGTAGAACAGTCAAAAGAATCATTAATAGCATTAAGGGAAAGTAAATTTTACTATATCTGATAGAAGTTGCATGAACTAAAAAAAATGGATAGAAATTGCACTAAAATCCATACTAATTAAATGCATACAGAATCTGGATAATAAAAGAGAGTTATTGTGTGGATTTTCTTTCATATATATTGAATGAAGAAACTGTACTTTTTGTGAAGTGGAACTCTATAAATTGATTCCCCAAATGTGATTCTCAGCACAACGACCAAAAAAGGTTTGAACTAATTCACACCTAAGGCGTAGGAGGGAAGAAGACCAGCGATGCAAAATATGAAGATCAACGTTAATTGGAGTTTTCCCCTTGTGGTTGTTGTATTGTTCTTATTGATTGCTCTGTCATCTCAGCATGAAGTGGCGGATGATGAACCTGTCTACAAGTGCTATCGACATTGCATGGGACATTGTAGTGGTGGACCATGGCTTTGCGATGATAAGTGTCTTAAGAAATGTCGTCCTCCAAATCTGAAGAAAGATTCAAAAAATACTGTGACAAACATAGATCCAAATCAAGGTTAGGACTGAATAATGTAAGTAGGTGCTTGGTTATCAAATAATACCCTCATATGTGATGAGAATAAAATAAGGGCAAACCGCAAATGAAACTTGTTTTCATTACCATTGGACCAAAAGAAGTGATGTGATACTAGCTTGTGACCCAAAACCATTTCCGTTAATGTTCAAAGAAGAAACCAAATCAAGGGAAGAGAAAGATGAAAATTTGACTAAGTGTGGAAACAATGTCGGGGTATCTACTTTGGAGGCTTCTATCTTCATCTTAGAAGATAAGCGATGGGAGTTTGTAGTTGGACATAAAGTTATAAGTTCAATTAAAGATCGTGAAGGCGTTTGGTGAGAAGATTGAAACTTCCTGGACACTAAACGAGCCGCCTAAAGGTAGTATGTAATTAGGAAAAAAAATCCCCTCTCAGGTGGGTTAAACTCCCCTATAGGGGATCTGAGGTCGCGATAAGGGAATGAGATCAGAAGGAACCCCAGTCATGAGGGAGCTAATCCCCGATAGGGGATTTGATGGTGCACGATAGGGGATTTGGCCCTGACAAGTTTTATTTATATTTTTCGTTTAGGATTCTTTTTCCTTTTCTGTACTTTTATTAGTTTTATTTACAAAACTATTTAAAGGGTTGTAAACTTTGGTTTGAGGGAGATTAATATTGGATAGAAAACCCTTTTTTGGTTCATTGAGTTTTTACTCTTGAATTTGCTCTTATGAATTGGTGGACTCCAATTCCTGAGTGTTTGTTTCATATCAACTAAGTATTCATCTTGATAGTGACCAAGCCTCTACCCTCATATTGATAAAGCCTTCCTCCAGGTGTGAGATTGCACTTCAATCCGCCTTATCCTTTTTTTACTTTTTGTCTTGTTGAGAGAAATTCAGAAACCCTCTAAAAAGATCTCGTTCAAATCAACGATGATCATGATTTTGACGAGTCTCTGGTTAAAATCAGTGGCAAGGAAAGAAGATCACAAGCTTTCTTCAAGCTCATGCAATGGCGAAAGAGTTGGAGCAACAAGGTAATTTGTTCTATACCCGTTTCTTGGTTCAAGAGAAGTTGTGTTATGTGGTCGTTGATGGAGAGATCAAATCCAATTTGATCAGTTCAAGGGCAATAGCTAAGTTAGGGGTAACTATACAATGACATCCTAGCCCTTTCTTTATGCAATTGTTGATGGAAAAGGCCTTGGTTTTGTGAATGAACAAGTGTCTTTGGAGATCAAAATCGGGTCTTTAGTGAATCAAATTCAATGTGATGCGTGACTATGAAGCTTACTAATGTAGTGCTTGGTAAACTTTGACACAATGATCGCCAAGCACGACCAAGCAGCAACACCAACAACATCATCTTAAGGCAACAAGAAAAGAAAATTGCCTTGGATCCATTATCGTTGGAAGAGGTTGCTGAAAATAGGAGGCAATTACAACGAGCCTATGAGGAGGAGTAGGCGAATCTGGAAGCAGAGAAATCGTCGACTTACTGTCGAGAACCGTAGAAGAAAAATGGAGGTTTCTACAAAATGGTCATGGTGGACAAGGAGAAGATGGCTTATCTCGATCCTTTTTACAACTATTGTGATAATGATTTCTCGTGCAGTAACGTACAAGATTTGAGGGGAAAGCTTTGCCAACGGGGAGGGACTGATGTGATCCTGATTGTGACCCAAAACAGTTTCCATTGATGTTAAAAGAAGAACCAAGTCAAGGGAAGAGGAAGCTGAAAATTTGGCTAAGTGTGGACAGCAGTGTCGGGGTTAGTGTTGTCAAAACCGAATCGGACATCGTTCCGGATTAGCAATAGGTTCAAGTTTTATCGAATAACCGGTGATAAATCGTTATGAAAAATTGGTCAAAAAACGATGCTAGCCTACTTGTTGGAGCTAGAGGTGCAAATTGAAAAACAATTACCGTTTATTGTTTTTCTTTCTTTATAATAATATCTTCACTCTAGTCTTACAAAGAAAATAGATCGATTCGCAAAATTCAAAATTTAAAAGGCAGAAAGTAGGCGGCTGCTAGTTTCATGGCAGGGGAATGGGAATTGATTTCATTCCCTTTTTATTTTATTTTTAATTATTAATGAAAATAAACCTTAAAGGTAGGCGCCATTTGTTTTTGGAACGTGCGCTCTGATCTGGTCACTAGAATTTTCGTTTTTAGACTTCCGGGATCGGATTAGTGTCCGGGTCTTGGTTTTTCCTGTCTGACCAGATGGTCCGATCCAGGTTTCATAACAATGGTCCGGGTACCTACTTTGGAGGCTTGTATCTTTATCTTGGAAGATAATCGATGGGATTTTGGAGTTGGACATCAAATTATAAGTCCAATTAAAGATCGAGAAGGCATTGGGTGCGAAGATTGAAGCTTACTGGACACCAAACGAGCCACCTAAAAATCGTATGGTGATCATGAAAAATCTCCTATCATATGGGTTAAAATCCCATATAGGGTATTTGAGGTTCGCGTTAGGGGAATGAGATTAGAAGGACCCCCGGTCATCAGGGTGTTAATCCCCAGTCATGAGGCTCGCTTACTGGACACCAAACGAGCCACCTAAAAATCGTATGGTGATCATGAAAAATCTCCTATCATATGGGTTAAAATCTCATACAGGGTATTGAGGTTCGCGATAGGGGAATGAGACTAGAAGGACCCCCGGTCATCAGGGTGCTAATCCCCGATAGGGGATTTGATGGTGCACGCGAAATTCAGAAAAACCTTAAAAGATTGTCACTAGGCGACTTTGATCAAAAGAACCTATGCTTTCATGAGCTCGGGAATCGGGATTTTATCATGAAGTCTAGCTGAATTCTTTTAATCTTTCCCACCACTGTTTGGGGAGTCTTGAATAATGAGCAGTAATAGATATATTGGGATGAGATGACAACCTCATTAAGCACAATGCGACCACCGAGGGACATATATTTACCCTACCAACCTTCAAGCCTTTTCTGTTCTTTAGTAATCACAGGATCTCACATTGTGACAATATATGAATTCCGCCTCAAAAGCATTCCAAGATAAACAACAGTGAGATTGCACCAATTGCATCCAAAAACATCCACCAACTGGCATGGGTCTTGGATCTCACTAACATTATACATGAAATTCTTATCAAGGTTGATCTTGAGCCTGGTAATTTCTTGGAAATTCACAAGAGTTGTTGCCAATCAAGAACTTGGTATGCAGTAGCATCACATAAGATAATTGTGTCATCGGCATAGAGAACATGAGTGACCTCACCACTTTGATCCTCCTCATTCATGAAGAAACTTTTAATCCCACCAGTAGACCTTATTTCATCCAAAATTAAAGACAAAATGTCCATGACATAGCAAAAAGGGCCACGGAAAAAGAGTTGATTTGCGTCAATTCTTACTTTGTGGATGACTCTTAAATATTCCTTCGAGCATCCTCTACTGTATGTATCCACTTGCTAAAAATACTTCATGATTATGAAGTTGTGAGTGGCCAACGTGTTAACCTTCAGAAATCAGTTGTTACATTCAGCGCAAATATCTCAGATTTGGAAGCTGCTCATCTGGCCGAATTACTTGGTGTGTCAACGATTGGGGCTCATGATTGATATCTAGGACTTCCATCTCATGTTCATCGATCTAAATTCCAAACCTTATGATATATTGATGACTCTTTAGCAACCCGAATACGCTAGTGGTAGACAAAAAAAAACTTGTCATTGGATGTCAAAGAAGTAGTCATTAAAGCGGTAGGGACAACAACGCCTACCTTTGCGATGTCCTACTTTAGACTTTCTTCTGAACTGTGTAGAAGGATGAATGGGAAACTTTACACTTTTTGATGGGCAGAGCAAGACAAAAAAAAAAAGGTTTACATTGGTTATCATGGTATGACTGTTTTCTCGACAAATTTGAAGGAGGCATGGGCTTCAGAGACTTTGATAAGTTCAATGTGACAATGTTAGCAAAACAAGTTTGGAAACTTCTCTGCGACCCAATATCCTTGCAAGAATTTATAAGGCTAGATACAACGACCACTTCCTTCTAGCACGTTAGAGAGCCCGCCCTTCATGGGCTTGACAAGGTATCCTACAAGGGAGAGACCAATTGAGTAAAGGTCTACGTTGGCAGGTATCATCCGGATCTGGGATAAACACTTTAAAAGGCGTACCAACAGACCCTCCATCTAGACCTGTTCTTCTAATTGGCGCTTCCATCGATCATCCATTGGTGTCATTCCTTCTGGACTCTAACTCTATGGCTTGGAATACAAACTTACTTAAAACCCTGTTTCACCCTGTTACGGCCGAAAAATCTTATCCATCCTTCTCCCATATTCCCCTCAAGAAGACAAATTGATTTAGCACTATGACAAGTCTTGTCACTACAGTGTAAAATCAGAGTACCATCTCGTTTCGTATAGATTAAATCCACCCACTCATGCCTTTCCAGATTTTTTTAACACCAAATTCTGGAAATATCTGTCGAATATTCCAATACCTCCTAAACTCAAATTCTTCCTCAGGATATTGGTACGTGGATTCCTACCAGTTGAATGAGTTATTTTGTACAAGAAAATTACTCCATCAAGTCTCTGCTCTGTTTGTTGCGAGGCAAATGAGGACTTCAAGCACCGGTTCTTTGATTTTAGAATTACTACAAAACTGTGGGCAATATCATACCTCGACCAGTTAAGAGATTTGATGAAGGCAAGCTCTGTGGACCTTGCGTGGAGAAACCTCTTTTTTACTCCCCATATCTACAAGAATGATGTAGCCTACATAGTCTTCTTATTCTGGAGAATACGGAAAGACCGATGAAAGGCTATTTATGGACACATCTTATACAAAGCACATATTTTATACAGGCAACTATCAGCGCATGTGGAGGAATGGAAAACGACAGAGGCACAGAAGGTCCAGAAGTCTGAAGAAGTCCAAAGGCCATCACCATACTCTTCCACATGCCATAATTCTCATGCACGGAGAACAGATGCTACCTGCCCTAGTGACATTGTTCTAGTCCGCTTCGATGGGGCTACAAAAAAATTTCAAGGATGTTCTACTACCTTCATTGGCTTAACAAGTGATGGAGTTATTTCATTTGCAATTGGTAAATTCTATGATGGCATTACTGATGCCTATACATCATAATTACTTGCTATTCGTGATGTTATGATATGGTGTCTCACTCATAATTTCTTGGCTTGCTTTTTGTGGGGACTCTCAATTGGTGATCAAGGATGTAACATTGAGGCAGGCTTCTCATTTAAGAGCGGGAGCCATTTTAGAGAAATTTCACTCTCTTCTTCCTTCCTTTTTCTCAGTCTCATGTCACTTTGCTCCTTGGAGTTTCAACAGAGCTACCCACCTCGCGGCAAAACAGGCTCTTTTATCGGGAGTCCGGTTGCATACAGACTACCATTCTTTGTTAGCGTCTTTCTTATAACAGTGTAGTCCGGCCATGCGCTGGGGGTTTATCTTGGATAAAAAAAATTCACATGACCTAACGAGAAGGAAACCCCAAATATTCAAGTCCCGAAAATAGGCTGCCCAATGAAGATTATCAAATGTCTTTTCAATATCTAGTTTGAACACTAAACTTGGTTTTCCGCTTTGTCTACTACTATCAACTTACTCTTTTGCAATCAGTGATCCTTCTGAATTTATTTACCTTGGACGACAACATTGTGGCGGCAAGACACAAACTCGTGCATCACACATCTCAATCTCCCCATGAGAACTTTAGTAACAAGCTTACTAAAGCTCCCCAACAGATGTGTGGGCTTAAGATAGATAGATAGATAGATAAAAGAGGTGGAATCAGTGTCTTTTTTCTTTCATCTCGAATTAAGATAAAATTATCACACAAGAATATCCCCGACTCTGTCCTTAACAAACCGCCAACACAACACGACTCCAACAGCCATTACGCCAGCAAGCAAAACATACACGCCACCGATGCCAAGCAGCTCAAACAAATAGCCTAAAACCACGAACATCATTACTTCGATGATCTGGCCAACGACAACTCCGAAGCTAACTCCTTGTGCACGGGCTCGGTATAGGAAAGCCTCCGTCGTGTAGACCCACGTCATGGGCCCCAACCCGAACTCGAAAGAGCCCATGATCCCGCCGAAGGCCACCAGGCTAAGGACTTTGGTGCTGCCAGCATAGACTTTGTGAGGGGAGCCATTGTGGAAGTTGATCAACGGGAACCCAAACACGAGCAGAGACAAAACGGTGACTTCAGTGCTGGCCAGAAGCAAGAACGGTCTCCCGGTAATGTCTGACAAGCGACCAGAGACCATGGCACAGATTGCCTTTGCTAGCAGAACCGCTCCGTTCGCTTTCGTTAGCAGCTTCTCCTCGACTTTGTACAAAGTCACCAAAGTCTCCAGCTTAAGGTAGGATTCCACGCCGAGGTATCGAAACGCATGTACAAGCGCGACGGAGATGGTGAGGCGGCGCAGAGGAGGTCGCACCAAGTCCTTCCACATGAAGCGAAGCGAAGGTATGTGGTCCGCCAGGTACTCCATCTGAAACGCTATGCGGTCGATCTCCTCCTCGCTTTTCTCGCCGCTTTCCATGATCTGCTTCGCCTCATCGACCCTCATCCTGGCTATGATGAGCCAGTGCGGGGATTCCGGCATCAACACCATTCCTATCGTCAGCAGAATGGATGGCACGATGGGAATCGCGAACATCCACCTCTGTGCGATGTGGTCCGACAACGGTGCGAGTTTGTTGTGGATCATCAAGTAGCCCACTAGAACTCCGATGTTCCGCCACATCTGTACATGTGGTTAGATCGTTATGTGGGCGGAGTTACAAAAGTCTTCAGACCCTTGAGAATTTTGGAACTTAGGTTTAAAAGGAGCTTGATTTTTTACGTTATAAAGTAAGATTAAACAATAAATGGAAATAGAGTGCAACATAGTAACGTGAAACTTAACTGAACTTAACGTGAAGCAGAAAGTATTGCATTCTTTATATTTCTCGTGTATTTGTCTTTTCTAGACATATAATTTAAACAAAAATAACTCTTACTATTTCATATTGAAATCAAACATTACTATTTTTGTTTTCGTAGTTCTTTTTGTGTAGTCATTAATTCCAATTTAGATCAACTAATTCCATTGATTTTTTGGCTACCTTTGGATATAAATAAATTTTTACTTTGTATTCCACTTTCAATTGACTAAATAAGTCGAGTTAAATCATTTACTTTCATATTTCATTTTGTCAAGTCCGCTAATTAATCAAAGGTCTTCAACTTTAGGAATACTTTCTTTTTTTGGTGTGAAAATAAAATGCTACACAATTTTTAGATGAATAATTACTTTTTAATATTTTTTCTAATTGTTGTTTAAACCTAATGAAACTTTGGTCTAATTCTATCCAGACTGATTATCATCTCGATTGTTTTGTTCGGTTATGGAAACAAGAACAAAAATTAGCCTTTCATTTAAAAATAAAATTAGTTTTTATTATCTCAAAGAACGTTCATGCTATTATCATGACGTAAAAAAATTAGTTGTTTGAATATTTTGTTTATTATTGTTATTTTTTAGCCGCTTTTATACTTACCTCCGGCAGTGACGTGTACTGTCCCCGACGGGCCGCCGGAGCCTGCTCGGCGATGTACAAGGGAGCGACCGTAAGCGCGACTCCGGCGCCCAGGCCCACGAACAGCTGACCGGCCACCAGAAGGCCGTACGACGACGTCGCGCCGCACTTGAACACGTTGCCGACGAGGAACAGCGCCCCGGCCGCCACAAGAGGGTACTTCCGGCCGAAAAAATCGGCCCCCATACCCGCCGCCGCCGCGCTCACGATGGCGGCGCAATGTTGTACCACCACCATTATGGTAAGGTGGATGTCCACCGCCCCCGTGTTCTCCGCCAGCAGCGTCCACCCGTACCGATTCGTCGCAAAATCTTGCGACACAACAACCGTACAAAACCGAAGAAGAAGAAGAAGAAAAAACAAGAGGGTCAGGTCAGATTCTACGTTGTAGGAAGAATAATGTAACCATGCATGGTAGTTTTGATAAATGGGTGATCAGTCGACTTACCGTATCCTACAATGAAAAAGGAAAGTGCGGCGATTGTTGATAGCACCTCCGGTTTCACCATCCTTTCTGCCTTGTTATTCGTCGACTCGCCGAATCAGCAGGTGTGTGTGGTTGATATATTTTGCGGCGAGGAGGAGATGTTTAGGGTTTTAGGGTCTGGTTGATAATATTTTTGCGGGGGGGAGGAATTCAGCTGCTGCTGCTGCTAGGGTTTGGGAGACGATCAGGGAGTAAGGAAGAAGATGACAGGCGGGAGAGGAAGTGGCTAGCTGTTGTTAGGGTTTGAGAGAAGAGGGAGCAATTAAGGAGGAAGAAGAAGATGACACACGGGAGAGGAAGTGGGCTGCTGCTAGGGTTTGAGAGAAGAAGAGGGAGCAATTAATATTTTTGCATGCATGCGTTTTTCTTAGTGGGGTTTCTCGTTCACGTATATATACTAATAATGGTAGCTAGAAAGGACAATAATGAAGTATGGGAAGTCATGTTTGATTACGGTACGTTAATTAAGCACTGTTTTTGCACAAAGGGTTCGAATGAAGATAAGCTGTTTGATCCATCGTTGTGAATCTGAACAAACGTACAAATTACCCTTTTCCCCAAATCACATAAAACGATCAGGTTGAGATATGGTTTTGTCTGTTTTCCGCCATTGAAGAAGTGGCAGTCTTCTCGAAGGAACTCTATTCAGGACTTGCGAGGTAGGTAAGCTGTTCGATCCATCATCGTTGTGAATCTAAACAAAAGTACAAATCTTTTCCCGCCCCCCCTGAATCACAGAACAATCAACTTGACGTATTTGGTTTTGTTTGTTTTCCGACCATTGAAAGTTGCAATCTTCTCGGAAGCTATCCGATTGTTGGGTTTCAGAAACAACGATAGTTCAACTACACACGTCCCTAAATGATGGGTAATTACTTATTTACTTCCATGGCGTCTCTGCTAACTAACCTAGCTACTCCTGGCTTAATTACGTAAACACCTACTATATGAAGGCTGTAGAAGATACGTGCATGCATGCATGAATGAATCTCTTGTCTTGTTTCTTATTTGCTTAGGAATTTCGTTACGTGTAAATTCAAACTCTCTGAGAATAAAACAACAAAATCTTAGAGACCTCTGTGGCGGCTAATTTAATTTAATTATTATTTTTTTTTTTTGGTCCATGGTGGACATGGCTGGCATTCATGGGCTGGGCCGGCTTTAACGTACGTCCAGGGGCCCAACCGAATTGAAAATGGGCCACATGAAGTGGAAAAGCTCTAAAATATGCCGCCCGTCCAGTCCGAATACGATCGCGAGAAGAGAAAGATAAAAATGCTCGGCCTTTTAAACTTGACAAATGTTTCAGCCCACAGTTCCTTGCTGGTTCAGGGGATGCTAAAGTGGTGATTGATCGTTGCTGCAGTCACGATCTTTCTCATATTCGGGCAGGGGTAATTCTCCAAGAGATTGATGGTGTATCAAGGTCTTATTTGGGGGTAAGTTTATTGTTCAGAGGTCGTGTTAGTAACAGGGTGGCTCATTTAGTGGCCCGTAAGGCTCTGTTTCTGTCGCCTCGCTTGTTGCAGAGGTTCGACTACGTTTCTTGGGTTACTAGCCAATAGGCTAGGTGTATTCAAGCTCTTTTCGATCGATGTTTTATCTCCCTAATCAAGATATCTAATGGTAAAAAAAAGGGTAATGTCTATTTTTTACCCAAACCTTTTTAAGATTCTTTTATTTTAACCAAACTTATAGAAATTTTATTTATTATTCAAACGTATTATAATTTATCAAAGTCTGGGCATTCATTCTGTTACCGTTACTTATTTTGTCCACGTGAGAGGTGGGATTTTGTTTTGTTTTTTGATAATATTTTTATTAAAAATAGTAAATGATGGTATTCTGACCGCCACGTAGGAAGTCAACTCATTATGGTCATACTTAGTCAGCATTACTAACAGAAAAGTTGACGGAGAATTAACGTTTGGATAATTTTTAGGAATTCAATAGATTTGGTTAAATAAAAGAATCTGAAAAAGATTTGGGTAAAAAATAGACATTGCCAAAAAAAAACACACAAAGAAGGGGACAAACATTTCCAAAATCGAAGTTGGACTCACTCTGCCTAACAGCCTAAGCTAATTCTCTGCTTTTGCCCCTTTCTTTTTACTCAAAACAGACAGCAAATGACCTAATCGTTGAACTGGTTGGGATGGTGGTTTTATTACAGATCCTCGTGGGCACTAATTGATGGCACGAACGAATTCAAGTATTCTATTATTGTCGCCGGACGCCGATAGATAACTACAACTCCCATTTAAAGGCAAAGAAAATACCAAAGTGGAAAAAAGAACAAAGTCGGAAGAAAAAAAAAAGGTTTGATTTACACCAATACGATAATGGAACACGATATTATGAAATTGTATCTAATGTTAAACAAATCTCTTTAAAAGAATTCCTGATACCCCTACAACATTTGTATCACATGTCCGCCGACTGCTACACATATGCTCAGTACAATATTTGCATCGGCACGAACAACCATTCGGTTCAGTCTCCCCCTTCTTCTACATTCACGAAGAGTTATAAGTTACACCGCGAATGGATAAGCAAACACCATCATATATAGCGCCCCCCATCTGCCTTGTCTTGCATATGGGTGTAACAACTAACAAACTCATCATCATTAGAAAGAAGGATACATTCGATCACCCTAAACTATCTACTATATATAAGTCCAAGAAATACAACCAAACACCTCAAATATATAAAGTGAGAACCATAACTCGACGAACCATGACGGCTATATGTTCCGATTAGGGATGGCAATCAAACCCATGACCGCGGGTATCCGACCGCCCCCGATTCAGTCAACGCGGGGAATCCCCGCTTTGACCGGGTATGGGGCGGGTATGGGTAAAACCCGCAAAAAGTTTGATGGGTATGGGGCGGGTATGGTTTTAGCCTCCCCCGCCCCATACCCATCCCCATACCCGCCCTACCAAGATAATTTCTTAATATATAAAAAAATATGTGCATCAAATTATAATATATTAATGATGATGAGGATAACTTAAGAAAATAAATAGTAGAAATGCAATTGAGTGACCACCTTAATCAAAATCTAATTCATTTCTCTCAATTCTCATTTCACTCTTTCACTTTCCCCCTTGTCAACAAGATTATGTTAGTTAATTATTATTTAGTAGATGTATAAGAGTTAGAATCTAATAATTTGAAAAATATTATACTCTATATTATGTATTAATGGATATTTTAGGATCATAATCTTTGAACCATATTAAAAAAATGACCGTGTTTTATTGACTTCATGATATAATATGTTCGTTTAGAGTTATAATTAAAACTTTTCTTATAAGTTTTAGGTATAATAATGTTGGATGTACGGGTATGGGTATTACCCATGGGTACCCGAAATCCACGGGTATGGGGATGGGTTTGCAAAACATTCCCTGCATGGATATGGGGCGGGTATGAGTTTGGGTATTTCAAAATGGGTATGGGGATGGTTTAAGCAAACCCGCCCCATTGTCATCCCTAGTTCCGATCACGAGACCCACGAAGCAAATTCCTTTACCCCTTGAGGAATCCAGGAAAGGAACAGATCGCTTGCAGCCCATAATTGCAGTTTGTAGCCGGGCTGCCCCATGTTAAAAGAATAAAGCCCAGGCCCAACATGCAAGGGGAAGGACGTCGCCGCTCGGAGCCTCGGATTACTCTTCATGCATTGCATGCAACAACATGGATGGTGCAACAAATGAATTAACGAAACAAGTCCAAAGGAATATGAAGAAGAAGAAGAAGAAGAAAAAACATGCTATGAATATATGATATTACAGAAAATGAATACAAAACATTGCCGAGGATATACTTATCTTTATCAATTAATTAGTTCGCTCCAAAGAAGACACATGAGCAATATAGGTTACAAAATTTGGGTGGCAATTCACCCATAATCATAGCCGCACATGCCCCCCAATAAACCCAAAAGAACGAAAACCCAACCCAATCAACCAATCCAGATTCGAGAGGTCAGTAACGAGTCGATTCACATCCATCGATCTCTCTCCTTGTTAACCGAAACTGAAATCGAAAACATAATCAAGGAAACAATTAGCCTTAAACTTAGAGTTAATTAATTAGATGATCCACACTCCCTCCTCCAAGTTCCAACCATCTTCCTCTACAGCACAATCGACTCGATCGATCGATCGATCGGGTCAATCATTCCACATCGTAAACATGCCATGGTTCGACCCTGGGACAACGGACTCCCCGGTCCAGCCACCATACCCATTGGTCGAAGGCATATCATAATCCACCTTCACCAACGGCCCAACCCCTTCCTCTCCTCCGGAACCCGGTCCACCCATGCTACCCGACCCACCGGTCCCCATCCCCAAGAACCCACCACCAACCGAACCGTAACCCGCCCCACCCGAACCACCGCCACTATTATTATTACTCCCGCCCTCCATGCTCATCAACCCGTGGAGCATCCCCGGGTTATTGCTCTGCAAGTAACTGTTGTAGAACGACGAGCCCGGGTACGACGTGGCAGCAGCCGATTGGTTGGCGAGATGGAGCTGAGTCTGTAAGTAGTTGTTCTGAACGGCGTCGTAGGACGACATCTCGGTGCCGTTCTGTAGGGTGAGCAGCGGCTGGGCCTCGTACGGCGTCGTTGTCGGCTGCATTAAAGAGTAGGCTTGGAGCCGGCTCGAGCCGGCGGCGGCGGCGGCGTAAGGATAGGTGGAGCCGAGCGCGATCATCTCCTCCCTTTTGCGGGAGGACTCGAGCGCCTGGGCCTCCTTGAGCCGCTTGGCGGCGCCGCCGCCGATGGGGAGCGCGCTGCTCTCGAGGATGCTCTTCACGTCGTAGCGGTTCATGTCGAAGTTGGTGACGGCGTTGAGGCCGCGGAATTTTATCGCCGCTATGTCGTATGCTTCCGCCGCCTCCTCCTCCGTGCCTATTAGACAATATATTTATTAATTGTCTTACGACGCGATATAAGGCTGAATCTTTGATTTGACTTTTAAGAGTGGGGCTTACTGAAGGTGCCGAGGTAGAGATCTTTGTTTCCGGCAACTCTGCCGATCCTCGCTTGCCATCTTCCGTGTTGGTGATGCCTGAGATGACAGTAACAATTTTTATTTATTTATTCGATGAAGGAGGAGCTATAAAGTTATATAAATGGAGGGAAATACAGTCGTACCTTGTAACACCACGATACATAGATGCACCTCTGGAGAAGCCACTACTCTTCCTGCAAATTTTTATTCGAGACATTATAGTAAGAGATCATCGTGATAAGCTCAGCACTAGATCACACATAATAAACATATTTTGTGTACATGTCATGTAACACCAGAAATACGACTATGATGAAACATGCCCACTTGTAGTTGATGTATGTGCAGGATGAGTAAAAATTTTCTTGTTAGTACGAACGTACCTTCGAATGGAAGCTACGAATTCCTGTCTGGTCATATGCTTCATGTCCTCCAACTCCTTCTCATAGTTGGTGATCTGAAGGGTAGAAATGAGAAGTTTTATGGTAAAGATCGAAACATAGATTAGGGTTTTGATAAAAATGTATAATGTAAAAACAAGATGTAAGAAAGAAGAACATACGGGGAAATTGGTGGTAGTAGATGGACCCCAATACTTAAGAGCAGCCATATCGTAAGCCCTAGCAGCCTTATCTTCTTTATCATACCCACCTGAACCACATCATCGTACGAAGGTTTAGTATACTTCCATTTTTGGCAAAATAATGCGACACATGCAATACAACGTTAGAAAAAGACAAGAAGACGAAGAAGAAGAAGAAACTGCAACGAAAATGGGGCAAGAACAGAAGAAGGATCTGATGTCAGTGTAAGTATAGACTGACCTAGATACACTGGAAGTGGCAGAATTGCACCATTACGGGAAGATCAGTAAAGGAAGAAAAAAAAAACAAAAGGGAATTTTGTCAGAATAAAAAATGTTCTAAAATGGGTAAAAAAAATGAAAATCCAAAATGTGTCAACAATAATCGATTTAATTACCTTGTCGTCCTTTCCTTGATTGGCCTTCCCTTCTGCAGCTATTGTCCCAAAGGTGAGCTTCATACCTTCCCGTCCATCTATGCCTGCATTCCCATTTCAAAGACAACATGAAAAAATCTAGAGAAGAAGAGAGACAAGCCGATAAAAAATATGTCGGAGAAAACATCCAACGCACTCTGAGTTCAGATTTCGCATTACGAAGATGGTCACTCAGAATGGTTTTTGTTCAAATTCAAAGAGTAATATATTTCACACCGCGGTTACCTATTTATTCAAAGAGCCAAAATGAGGGAAAGCAGAGTCTTTGATAGTCGAAAGAACGATAAGAAAAAAAGTAGGATAAAATTCGGGTCCAACCCACCAATTTTTTTTCAAAACCCTAGAAACCCAACAAAGTGCAAAGACGACCGACCTCGTAACGCCGCGATAAATGGAAGTTCTCTGGCCGAAAGTATCCAATGTCCTCCTCGGAGCGGCGGCCTCGGCGGTGGCGCTAGTGTTATCCCCACTGGTCTCGCTCTTCCCGCTGGCGCTCCCCATCGACAACGTCAGCCCTTGCAGGCTGCCGGCACTCTCTTGGTACTCGTAGTTACTAGAGGCGGTGGCCACCGGCAGCAGACTGCTGCCGCCGCCGCCGGTGGCAAACATGTATTCCGCCGCGGCATCATTGGTCTGATGGTGGTGATGATGTTGATGAAGGTCGTTGTAGGAGATGAGATTATCTCCGGCGTGGTGGCTGTCGTTGTCGGATTTGCTCACTCCTAGGAAGTCGGCCACTTTTGGAACTTCATTGCTTGCTTGACTGTTCATAAGGCTCCAATCCCCTTTTCGAAACCAAAAAAAAAAAAAAAGAGTGTGCAACCACATTAGATGTAATCATCTTTTCGAGAAATCAGTAGCAGAACTCGTTCGTCCTGATAACTTCTGTTAGTAGTCGTAGTAGTGTTCGAGTTGCAATACGCGGTTTTTGGAAATCGGTTCGTTTTTCGTAGTAACTCGAACTGTTGCGCGAGGGAGAGCTAGGGAGGTGATGATATATATACCTTGGGATTGAAAAGAGTTGTCCATGGCGTCATTGACTAGGCCGAGGGAGAAGTGGTGGCCGGAGTGATGAGAAGACTGGAGATGGGTTTGCAAGGTGGGATGTGTAGGCGAAAGTGGGAAGGAGAGCCAGTTGTTGGAATTCATTATGCTTCCAAAAAATTTGATCGATCTCAATCTCCTTGATTTGGGTAACACTATAGTGCTGCTGCAATGTAAAACCAAGAAGAGGAGAATATAAGCAAACTTTGATTATACAAAATGGAAGAAGTAGTGAATTTGTATCGAAGAAGATGATGAAGAGTTTTTTTTTTTTTTTTTTTTTTTTGCAAAGGGACATACATGAATGGAGTTATTGCTTGAGAAGAGAGGGAGAGAATGGTTGAAAAGAGAGAATTTTGTGGGTGGGAGATATGAAGCTATACTTAAGTAAAAGAAAAATGTAATGGGTTAGCTTAGCTAGCTAGATAGAGAATTAGAGAGCCATTCTTCTTCTTATGTTTAATTTCATTTCTTTGTTTCTTTTGCTTCTCTCTGTCTCCCTCCTGTGTCAAATGTAGGAGGCATACACGCAGACACACGGGAATCGATCCACCAAGTTGTGCCTTGTCATATTTTAATCCTACAAATTAAAACCTAGTTTTTGAGAATATAGGGTGGTAGTTTGGGTGGTGGATCGAATTTGATTATGAATGACCCTGATTCAGTTGGCGTGAGCATTAATCGATTGGATGAATATAAAAAAAAAGCGAACAAACTAAATAAAAATTGCCTGATAGGGGCATAGATAAAAACTAGAATTTTACCGATTATGAATAAACTTTTTTATTTTTATCACTATCCAATCTAAACGTGATCGATTATACGTAATTATTTTTCCTATAAATTGTTCACTATTCAGTATTCGTCGTACATGTATCACATTTCAAGTCTGGAAATGATTAGTAAAAAAAAAAATTTAGTGAGATACTGTAGCGATAGCAATAAAAGTATTTGACTGCAATTTGGTATTTGGTTAATTTAAATTACTACGATGAAAAAAATTGATTGTATTAATCAATTCATCTATTCGATTCATTCAATAAAAAAAAAACTAACTCTGTCAACAGGAAGAAAAAAGATTTACCTTTTTTGTTTTTGTTTTTGTTTCTGAACTTGGCAATGGTCATTGTAAGCGGTCGTAGAGAGACCATACATGAACATTCAACACCACCGCAACAGTTCCCGATACTAGTCTTTAATTAGTTAATTAATCAATTAATTAAGAGGCGAATAAATAAACAACTGCATGCACAGTCATCATTCACATAATTAATATCTCTTCTTTCTGCCAAGAAAAAATAAATGTACAGAGAATCCATACCAGGACACGAGTGTGCATTTATATACTAAACAAATACACACTATTAATACAATATAAAATAGTAGTATTTTTTTGTTTGTATTAATTTCTTCTTCTCTTTGTAACCCCACTTGTACCGTTGATTGATTTATGGGAACTCTCTCTGGTACACACCTCGATCCTCTCTATCTCATTTATCTTCTTCTTCTTCTTCACCTTAACAAGTAGAATAACTACATTAGATATATGGAGAATTCAAAAACAATATCTTTTCATTTTCTTAACTTCCAATTCATGAGTAGAGTCTGGAAATCTCTATTTTAGTCATTCGTACCATTGATATGACAATCTTGAGTTGTGCAAGCTTGCAGCCAACTAACTTCCTTCCGTATATGGTAATTAATCACGCTATGAGAGAATGGAATAAAAACGGTGCTACTCCTTCTCTTTTACTTCGTATTAATGGTGTTACTTATTCTCATCGTTGGGATAATTCTTCATAACACTCTAGTTGTTATTTTTATACCTCTTCTATGTTCCGTTTGTTCTTCTTACGATTTAAATCATGGAGTTAGTCGGCTTCTTGTAGACTTCATCATTTTATATTTTTTAGAACTACTTGAAATGTATTAAGTACACGATCTAGTCATTAAAACCCCTAAATTTTCGTGGATCCCCGAGTGAACACCTCCTTCTTTGCCTGTGTTATATATATATATATATATATATATATGAGATATGTTATTAAAAAATGAATCAGAACACAAATGGGTAATTAAATAATTAATTAGTTTATGTGGTGAAGAAAATAAAAAAGGTAATAAAAAAAAGAACAATAGTTTATTTGTTTATAAGCAGGATTTGGTTTGTGTTTGTTCCCCCAAGTAAAAATCTGTTGACCGCCCAATTGATCTTCGTGCCCCCGTCAAAAAAGCCCCCCATTGGCCCTTATTATTAAACAAATCGCCCCGGCGAGGTGATCAGCTAATGTAGTAGCTAAGAGAAATAGAGAATACACCAATCCCAGCAAATTTCTCGATCAGTACCAAGCCACAGATAGATAAACATTCTAAGGATTGAGAGATCTCGTGATCGAATCTGCACAGCGCTATCTCTAACTATATACCCGCAAGTTATTACTCGCGTTGGAAGGCCATCAAGTTCAGGTTAAGAGCGATACACGCTCACTCCGAAGGATCAGCATCGCATCTCATTCCATTTCATCATAATCTAAGCGACAACTTGAACTAGCACGATCGAGCAACCAAAATGTTCTTTTTTTCTTCTTCTTTCCAAAAAAAAAAAAAAACACACACACACATTGGTCTCATTCCACCTACTATGCAGATGAACAACAACACTCCAGAAAATGGGGAATTGAAGGTTTTGTCATAGTTAAACAAAGCTAGCCACCATCAACTGTGACAGAAATAAACAACGTGGGGGAGGAAAAAAAAGACAATGTGAAAGGACTGGAAAAGAGCATGACATATTGGAAGGTTGACGATGGTCAGATCAAACATGTGTAGAATCAAGCAAGTTAATTTTGTCAAATTTTGTTCAGAATAGTTGCAGAGTTCAGACTGAGAAGAAGAAGAAAGAGGAAGTAAAAGCCCCTAACTATTTTTGAAAGTATAATAATCCATAGTGGGGGTTATAAACTTAAAATATACATTTAATATTAAGTATAGAGACAAAATACTACTGATCACCATTACTGCACTTAGCTTACACACTGCCCCCAAAAATTCTCTTTTGTTAAAAATTTTCAAGATATGTAAATGTAAAAAAAAAGTTTAGTTGACTGAGACTAAGACTGCATGCTCCACAATAAGGGAGCAACCTCCCACGCCTCTCGCTTCTAACCTTCTCTTCCCCTCGTTTACCTTTATCTCTTTCTCCGAGTAAATCACTTAAGTTAAAGATGGAAAGAGGGAGAGAATCCAACTAGGGTGGTAAAAAAATGATCAAACTCATCAGTAAGAAGTCCAATTCCTAATGGTACATGAGAAATTAGTAAATTACACAAGTTGATTCGTCCATAATTTAGTAATCGAGTTGGCTCTCAAGCCACATGTTGAGACATATCATGAGCTCTAAACAAACCAGCTCACGAGTTTAACTCAACAAGCCACCGAGTCGAGCTAGCTCGCGAGCTTCACGAGCTGAAAAAAGCTTAGCTCATATTCGGTTCGTTAATAAACGAGTCGAGTTTCAAACGAGTTTTTCTCGAGCATCTCTAACAATTGCATATCTTAGTGAGTTTATATATCCACGTGTATGTAACTCCCGTAATTAAATCATGGGGTGGCCAATTCAGATATTGCGGCACAAACGCAGAGGAATGCGACTGACACGTGTCAGTTTCTGTCGCCGGCCGGCTTCGTGTAGCTAGGGTTTGAAAGTGGTGGCCAGCCAGGCAGAGCCAATTATCCCCTTTGCATGCTTTGCACAAAAAAAAAAAAAAAAAAAACACGAACCAAAGCTTTTGACCACTCTCTCTGACCAATTCCCCTCCATCCTTAATTTTACCATTTTAACCCCCTCAATCCCACTCCAAAATTTTCAACTCGACTATTAAAATATGGTAAAACGTAGAAATTAAATAAGTAAGTAAAATAAAAGCTATATTCATTGTGGTGTCGTGTCATGTTATCTAGCAAATTTGAAGTTGGATGTGTGCAAAACGTACCAAAATACATACACTAATTAATAAGTGGTGTCGGTTCTATTTGGATGTCTTGAATATGTTGTTTCTGCTCTATATAAACGGTAGGACAATGTATGGACTTTACACATATGTTTTTTGTTTGTTCCCTCTTGGGATTTTATAAGTAGTACTTAAATTACATATCTTTTTCTTACGTCTATGTGCGGTTACGATTTGGGAAAGTTTCAGAAAAGGATTTGATCTTCATGGTCCTTACCCTCCTTCTCACTCGTGATTTCCTCATTGCTTGGCGAGGCTTGTGGTGTGATCAACGGTTCAGTGAATGTATTAAAGTTGTTGCCCCATGCAGTACTTTGGTTCATCTGGCTGGAGAGAAACAATAGAATTTTTAGAGATGTTGATTCCTCCCCACAAGAGACCGGGAACAAGATTGTTCGTATGGTCGGACGGTGGCTAAGAGTTCGTAGTCAGATCTCAGATGGACTCTTTCACGAGTGGGTGACGACCGGGACAAAGCACCTTATTTGATCTTCATTCTCTTTTCGTTTTTGTTTTGTTTTGCTTTTTCTCTCTTTGTTCTAGTCTTGTCTTTGTACCTAAATTTGAGATTTTTTTTTTTGTTTTTTGTTGCTAGCTTGCTCTACTACTAGTTGAGCTTCTAGTATATTTTTTTTTTTGATAAGGGTGATATAGGTTTCTCTTTTTTGTGATTAAGGTACTACTTAAGGGATTCGAACCTGAGACCTCCAGGTTCTAGACTAGTGGTATTACCACTAGACCAAGCCCTTGTTTGTAAAATTTTTCATCATTCATAAAAAAAATCATTCGTTTTACTTTTTCTGCCGATCGCTCGCTCCATTATAACAAATTCAATCGTATAATATTTTAAGTCGTTGTCTAATGACAAGTAGCATCATGTTAATAAAGTAAAAAATGAGTAGTGAGACAAGTATGTAACATGTTAAATTCACTGGTTTTAAGGCTGGTCTATGATCGCGTGCATCGGTGCATGAATACAAGAGACTCTTTGTTTGTTTGTGTATGTTTTGTTTTTGCCCTAGCTAGCTTGCTAGCTATTCCTTCCCGATAAAAACCTATAGCTCAGGATCGCTACAAACCCTACTGCTCGACGAT